GCTCAATCTCACGACCCATGAGATCATGACCTGAGCCAAAATTATGAGTCGGACGCTTAAATGACTGAGCTACCAAGAGCCCCCCAAATGTTGCTTTCTTTAGCCAATTTACTGTGGTTATTAAATCCTTGTCTCCTTGTACTTTGCTTTCTTTTCCTCCTTCCCCAGGTATATCCTTTGTAACAAGTATTTTTCTATCTAGACAATTCACATGAAGACAGTGTTGGTCTGACTGGAGGGACAGAATTAACACTCATCTTGCAGGGTAATTATGTTGAATTAGCTTTTTACTATATGCAATTATAATGTTCAGAAGACATGTGACCTGAACACATACGCAAATCCATGTAACAATGAACTAAGGTGGTTCTGTTTAAATCTATTGAATAGGATTAATTTGAGATATATCCCTTCATGTTATAGAGCAGTTAACCTAACCAGAGGCTGTAACAGAATACAAGGTTGGTAAAAAGTTCCCAGGGCACATATAGAAAAAAAGGATCATGCCTTTTAGAAAACAAATTACAAGCTAACAAAATATTACTACTCAGCAACTTGAATTTTTATAAAAGATGAATAGCAACACCTACCAAGCCACAAAAAAAGACTGGATGCAGGGTGCCTGGGTGGCTCAGTCGGTCAAGCATCTGCCTTCGGCTCAGGTCATGATCTCAGGGTCCTGGGATTGAGCCCTATGGTGGGTTCCCTACTCAGTGGGGAGTCTGCTTCTCCCTCTGCCCCTCCCCTTGCTTGTGCTCTCTCTCTCTCTCTCAAATAAATAAATAAAATCTTTAAAAAAAAAAAAACACTGGATGCATTTTTGGACATGGTTTTGAGGGAAGGCTAGGACTAAATCCAGACTCTCAAAGAGTGTTTTTCAGACACAGTTAACACACCTGGCAGCCTGGTTCTTTATAATTAGCCCTGCCTTTCCTAATCCCAAAGGTGATCAAACCCTTTCTCCAGTCTTAGCAAAAAGACCTTTTTTTTTTTTAAGATTTTATTTTTATTTATTTTGACAGAGAGAGAGACAGTGAGAGAGGGAACACAAGCGGGGGGAGTGGGAGAGGGAGAAGCAGACTCGCCGCTGAGCAGTGAGCCCGATGCGGGGCTTGATCCCAGGACCCTGGGATCATGACCTGAGCCGAAAGCAGACGCTTAACCACTGAGCCACCCAGGCGCCCAGCAAAAAGACCTTAATAGCTGCAACACTTATGGATTTTTTAGCTATGGGATGCCTGGGTGGCTCAGTCAGTCAAAGGGTTAAGAGAGAGAAGGAAATAAAAGAGATGCTCTCCATACTCTTGAGCATGTGGTTCCTCTAGCAAGAGAGACAGGTTCTCTCTTGGGTTTTAAGTGCCCAAATTGCCACGATTGGTAGCAGTATATTTCTGAGGCTAAAGAGAGAATGGCCTTAGTTGCAAGGGACTGCTCTGAAGTAAGAAAGCCCAGAGAAATCTTTCTGGTCATATGAACCAGCATGTGGGTATGGGGAAGGAAGGGTGCATGAGACTCCTGCAGGTAAAAAAAAAAAAAAGAGCAGAAAAGGGGAATCACCTAATTCTATATATGATTCAACATGTCTTAGGCTCAACCCTGAGCTGTCCACATGTAAAGCAGATTCAAAGAAACATGACAAAGACTTTGAGAACTGAACTATGATATTAACTACTGCTCAAGTTCCAGATTAACCCGAGTGGTACGAGTCAGACTCAAAAAGCATAGTAAAGGCTCTGAAAATTGGACTGATATAATCACCACCCACAGGAGGCAAAACAGAACGTGCAGTGAGAACCTAACTCATTAGGCTAATTGCCTGTCAAAACAAAAATCAACCCTGTAGAGGATTTTAACAGGACCAATAATCCAGAACATAAGATTCAAAATACATAGGATATAATCCACAATTACTCAACATGCAAAGAACAGGAAAATCGAATTCTTGGGAGAAAAGATAATTTTTTTTAAAAAGATTTTTTATTTATTCACCTGACAGATAAAGACATAGCGAGAGAGGGAACACAAGCAGGTGGAGTGGGAGAGGGAGAAGCAGGCCTCCTGCCGAGCAGGGAGCCCGATGCGGGGCTCGATCCTAGGACCCTGAGATCATGACCTGAGCCGAGAAGGCAGACGCTTAATGACCGAGCCACCCAGGTGCCCTGAGAGAAAAGATAATTAACAGATGCCAACCACACCCCCATGACCAAAATGTTGGAATGACAAGACAAAGACTTTAAAGCACTTATCTATGAGATAAAGGTAAACACTCATAAAATAGATGAAAACACTGAAGTTTTCAGCAGAGATATAAAAACTATAAAGAATCAATGGAAATTTTAGAAGAGAAAATTATAATATCTGAAATTAAAAATTCACTGGATGGGCTCAACAACAGAATGGAGATGATAAAGGAGAGTAAGTAACTTCAGAGATAGAGCAACAGAATTTATAGTCTGAAGAACTGAGAGAAGAAAATTAAAACAGCTTCAGGGGGGTGCCTGGGTGGCTCAGTTGGTTAAGCGACTGCCTTCGGCTTGGGTCATGATCACGGAGTCCTGGGGTCGAGTCCCACATTGGGCTCCCGGCTCAATGGGGAGCCTGATTCTCCCTCTGACCCTCTTCCCTCTCATGCTGTTTCTCTCTCTCTCTCTCTCAAATAAATAAATAAAATCTTGAAAAAAAAGTTTCTTTAAAAAAACAAACAAAAAAAACCAGCTTCAGGGATTTGGGAAATAGTATCAAAAGGTCTAACATTCATATCATTTGAAGTCCCAGAAGAGAGAAAGAAGGGCGCCTGGGTGGCTCAGTCGTTAAGCATCTGCCTTCAGCTCAGGTCATGATCCTGGGGTTCTGGGATCGAGCCCCACACTGGGCTCTCTGCTCAGCGGGAAGCCTGCTTCTCCCTCTCCCACACCCCCTGCTTGTGTTCTCTCTGTCTCTCTGTCAAATAAATAAAATCTTAAAAAATTTTTTTTAAAAGAGGAGAAAGAAATTGGTATAGAAAAAAATATACAAAGCAATCATGACAGAAAACTTCCCAAGTTTGCTAAAAGACAAATTTATATATTCAATAAGCTCAATGAACCCCAAACAGGAAAAACACACACACACAAAATCATGCCCAGACATACTGTAATCAAACTGCTGAGAACCAAAGATGGGGGAAAACTGAAATCAGACAGATAAAAAAAACATGACACATTATACATATAAGAATAGTGATTTAAATGGGTGAGAGGACTTAACCACAAAGGGGCAGCACAGGGAGGTTTTTTTGGAGTGATGGAACTATTCTGGATTTTAACTGTGATGGTTGTTATAAGACTCACTGTATTCGTCGAAATGATGCCTGTACAGCAAGAGCGAATATTACTGTGTGTATATATAAATGAGCCAAAAACCTGGGTATCATCATCTCTGCTCTAAATAATTCCAACTTTAACCTGGAACCTTGCTAGAAATGCAGAATTTCAGATCCCACCCCAGAACTCCTGAATTGGAACTCCCCATTTTAATGGGATTCTGGAGTGATTTTATAACGGTATTAAATTTATTTAAAGATTTTATTTATTTATTTGACAGAGAGAGAGAATACAAGCAGGGGGAGCAGAAGTGGGAGAGGGAGTAGCAGGCTCCCCGCCGAGCAGGGAGCCTGATGCGGGGCTTGATCCCAGGACCCTGGGATCATGACCTGAGCCGAAGGCAGAAGCTTAACCAACTGAGCCACCCAGGCGCCCCAAGGGTATTAAAATTTGAAAAGCCCTGCTCTAGGGCATGCTCGAGGGAACGAAAATCTGATTATGCTTCTCCTCCACTTAACATTTTACAAAAGACACAGGCAGGATATATGAGGCCTTACATGACCTCACCCTACCTTCCTCTCCAGGCTCATCTTTCACCACTCCCCACCTCACCATTTAACACTTCACTTGAGTAAGAATTAACTATTTGTACATTCCAGCACACAACACAATGCTATGTCCCCTTTACCCATGCATTTCCCTCAGCCTAGAACACCTCTTCTTCATCTGCCTAATTCCTAAACCACCTTCAAGCCTCTATTCAGAAGTCAACTGTACCAATCTCTAAGGACTACCTGGGCTCCTAAACCAGCCAAAGCATACTTCCATCCCTGGACTATCGCATTTTATTGAAATTATCTGCCTATAAAAAAAGAAAGAAAGGGGGCGCCTGGGTGGCTCAGTCATTAAGCGTCTGCCTTCGGCTCAGGTCATGATGCCAGGGTCCTGGGATCGAGCCCCGCATCGGGCTCCCTGCTCTGCGGGGAGCCTGCTTCTCCCTCTCCCACTCCCCCTGCTTGTGTTCCCTCTCTTGCTGTCTCTCTCTGTCAAATAAATAAAATCTTTTAAAAAAAAAGAAAGAAAGAAAGAAATTATCTGTTTATGTGTCCTCCCTGGCCTGTAGGTTTCTCAAAGACTCATCTCTTCTATAGTTCCCCTGGATCTAGCATACCTGGAGAACTAGGTATGTCCAAGGTTTTGATGAACTGAACCACCATCTTTTTTGGATTCTTATAAAACTATTCGTTTCCAATTTAGTAGTAAACAGTTCCCCCATCACACATTCTTTTCCTAAAATTATGTTAACCATCTCCTAGATCAGAGCTTCCAGTTGCTTTTAAAGCAAAATGCATTTCAGAAATCTAGACCCAACACTTTTTTTGCCTGTACAAAAGGACTTACCCTAGGCTAAAAGGAAAGGGTTTTGTTTGTTTCTGGTTTTTTGGGGTTTTTTTTAGATGCCATAAAGCCATCTACCATAAAGCTCATTTTGTCCTAAATTGGAGGCTGGGGGGATTGTGTTTCGTTTATTTACAAGTTCTTAGCTCACGCCTGGCTACCTCACAAGACTCGAATTCCGCCTGCCATTCCACATTCATCTGGTAATAATTTCTACTCAGTCTGCGAGGGCCACTCCACCTCCAGTACCCAGCACAATGGCGGGCGCCTTGTCCAAGGCCTGGCGCCAACGGTGGTCACCTTCTCCAGGGCAGCTCCTCATCATCCAGGTCGCTCTCCGTCACCGACCCGTCTATCACAGTTTCATCACTGTCCCAGTCTGGGGCCTGGGCGCCTCCCTCCATCTTCGCCTCACGTCCGGAGCCTTGTTTAGTCTCCTTCTCTAACGCCCCGCTTCCTGCGAAAAGAAAGGGCACGCTGAGGGTCGGGGGGGAACTTTGAGCGAAATATGAAATTCGAGGCGAGACGCGGGAGACATGCCTGGAACAGAGCAGCAGCGACGCTCGTCGTCGGGGACGCGGTCCCGCTCGGCCCCCCGCCGCACGCCGCCGGCAGGGAGAGCCGCCCGCCGCACGTCTCAGCCGCGCGCGGCCCCGCCCCCCGACGCCGGTGGCCGGAAGTGCCTGGCGGAGCGCCCGCCCGCTCCGGGTTTCCCGGCCGCCTGGGGCGTGGCGCCCCCCGCCGCATCCGCTTTCCGTGCTTTCTCACCTATTCGTTCGCTGGGCGGAGTGACTGGGGTTGCGGTTGAGGGGACCAGAAAGGCAGCGCTGCCACAGACAAGACCGCAGTCCGAGCCTGCCTAACGCCACCGGCAGGAGGGAGACTTAGGTCACCTTACCTGCAGTGCGCCTCGTACTTGTGAGACCCAGACCTGGAAAGAACTGTCGGCTCCTGCCCGATCCGGTAGCCCCCGCTGTCCGTCTGACATTCTGAAGCCAGAATGTTACCTTACACCGGAAGAGTGTTTGTTGCAGTCCACCAAGTGCTGCCTTTCTCCTTAATTCCTTTGACACCCCTTCCTCGAGTGTCCTTTGAGGTAGGCAAAACAAACATGTTTATCCTAAGTTTATAGATCATCAACCCACCTAACTGATGTATTTTGTATTTGTATTTTTCCCTCATTAACTCTTTAATTGCCTTGAAATACAGGTTGTGTAGCTAGAGGAGAATAAATGCTTTATTTTTTTTTCCTGTATAAATTTTTAGTATGATAGTGTCTAGCAACTTCCAAGAATAGCCAATTATGACTTTTGAATGAAGTACTAGATTTTTATATATTTGAACATTCAAAACAAAACCAAGTGAACTCCATTTGCCAAGAGAGGTAGATTAAGGATGAGAACTCCTTCCCCCATCAAGTGTTTAGTATTCACTTTGAAATCTCCAGCATCTAGCACATATTGGGTCTTTAAAGTTTTGTTGAATAAATGGATGGAACTAGGATTTTCTGACTCCCCAATTCACTGCCCTTTTCTTTACATGCAATGGCTTTTCCATTCTTATCTTACAGAACTAGACCTCTCCGTGTTTTTACACCTCTCCACCTACATCCTCCATGTTTAAATCAGCCCTAAATCCCCATCCACTCTCCTGCTCACCTACTCCTTTGATCATCTAACTCTGTTAATTGCCAGCAATGGAAAGTGCATATCCATTAAAAGGCTGGTGGGTGGCTCTAAATGCCCTATGCCAGAAGGTGACTTTGCACTAATAAAAGACTTTGCTGCAGGCGTCTGGTACCTCTAGCTAAGTATAGAAAACTCGGAGTCTGAAATTCAGATTCCTTTTTAAAATACTTTCTCCTTTGGTGGATAAGAGTCAGTTATTTTTGCATCTTCAGTTCTTTTATATTATTCAAGACAGTTGCCAAGATTCAAAGCATAAAGAAGAATAGCAAAGATGATCCACATAAATGCCAGTATGATTTTAAAGGAAACTTTTTTTTGTTTTTATAAAATCCAAAGTTTCACTGCAGGACAGAGATAGAAGAATGACCGATCTGTGTTAGAAATCTACGTTGCAAATGACAAGAAAAAATACAATTCAAACTGATTTAAGCAGATAAAAAGGGTGAGCTGGGTCATGTAACTGAACCATCCATAAGTACCCAGGTTGAGAGAAATTTAGCTCAGCTTTCTTCTGAATTCGTTAGTTAAACACTCAAATAAATTGAAACACATCAAATGTATAAATATCCAGAATCCTTGAGGAGAACACAGGCTCTTCGACCTCAGCCGCAGCAACTTCTTCCTAGAAACATCGCCAAAGGCAAGGGAAGCAAGGGCAAAAATGAACTATTGGGACTTCATCAAGAGAAAAATCCAGAACTTCATTTTAAAATAATAATTGGTAATTTAGAAGGTGGATAGGTACCATTTTATTATTTTAAAAATTAATAAAGGGGAGGAAAGAAAGCATTTATCCTGATGTTTCTATACAATCAGTATTTCAAGGTGACCAAATTGTTGATTAGGGAAAACTTTCCTTATAGAGAAATCACAGCTAACAAATACAAGAGATACAATAGAATTAGAAAATCATCATTTTGCAACCCATGAAACAATGGATCTAGGCAATGGTCAGCAATAGCTGCAATAGTTAGGCAGAACAGTAAAAAAAAAAAAAAGTAAAGTAAACAACTAGACCTTTGTTTCTTCACACCTGCACACCTACATCTTCCATGTTGAAATCATTCCTAAATTCCTAGGTAAAAGGCGGATGGAGAATTTTATAATAGACAAGTCAGGATGACAACACTTAAGTCCAATAATAGTCTTAACATCAATAAAAGTCGACAACCAAATATGTACCTCCTGGCACAACACTATATGAATAAATGGCACTTACCTGTGAAGTAGTCTAAGCCAAAAAAAAAAAAAAAAAGTTAAAAACCTGAATCTAATCAAGCCTCTAGATCTGTCAGTTATTTATATGCAGGAAGAGGGGGCAGAGGAATAGACTAACACCATGAAGATTAAATTTACCAAACCTAGGTTATGGGAAATTCTATAGAACAAATGACCTGGTTTCTTTCAACAATTAAGTATCATGGGATTTAAAAAAAGGGATGAGAACTCTTTTACATTTAAAGAGACCCTAAGAGGGGCGCCTGGGTGGCTCAGTCGTTAAGCGTCTGCCTTTGGCTCAGGTCATGATCCCAGGGTCCTGGGGTCAGGCCCTCTGCTCAGCGGGAAGCCTGCTTCTCCCTCTCTCACTCCCCTGCTTGTTTTCCCTCTCTTGCTGTCTCTGTCTCTGTCAAAATAAATAAAATCTTTAAAAAAGAGAGAGAGAGAGAGACCCTAAGAAAAGGGAAAAAAAATCAAGTAGTTAAAAAGGAAAATTGATTGTTAATATAAATACTAATACAGAGTGAATTAGCAAGAAAAAAAGAAAAAAACCTTGAGAAGAGCATTATATCCTTTTTAAACCAACAGATATTTGTAAAAAATTAAATAACACAAGGTAGAATAAAATTAAATTTGATTATAGTAAAATTTAAATCTTTGAGGATTCATGAAACCAATTAATCCTTAAGAACTATAATCAAATTTTATAGCTTGATTCCATTTAGGCTGTAAGTCTTTAAATAAAAAGTCCTATATGGGAATTCTTTACTTGTTTTAAAGGTGAATTAAAAGGAGAATGTCAGTTCTACCACCTCAAATTTGCATTAGGAAGAAAAATTCCAAAATCATATCCAATAGCATGTATGCTAACCCACAAATGCTGGTGAGGGTCAGTGCCCTGAAGGAGGGCTGAGAATAAGGGCCTTTCCCTTATTGGCCTAGCCTTCTTATGGATGAAGCAGACAATAAAGAAGTACATGAATGTATGAGATAATCCAGAGAGTGATGCATGCCTGAAAGAAATAAATAGGTTGCTGAGATAGAGAATATGATTAGAGATAGCCTCTCTGAGGAGGTGACATTTGACCTAAGACCGAAAGCATGGATATAATCGCAGAGGTTCCGAGACAACCTAGAAGAACAGAAAGGAGGCTTGTGTGCCTGGAGCTGGGGAGTAGGGGAGAGTGGTATGAGATGAGGCCCAAGCACTAAGCAAGAAGTAGAGTATATACAAGGTGTAATGTGATGAAACTTGTTTGCAAGTATGGATTTTGAAAAAAAAAAAAAAAAGAAAACTTATTATTTTGTACTTACACAATATATTTGCTTTTATAATTAAAATTCTTTTCTGCCTAGCGCTTCATATCATTTACATCCTATCCAGGTTGCTTTAGATCCCAGAACTATGAAAGGTGAGACTTTCATGGAAGATTTGATTTATCATAACCAAACACAACATGAATCTCCAAAAGAGTAAACCCAGCAGATATTTTTCACTCAAGTAATATTCTCCCCCCAAAATAAAGCTATATAAAGTGTTTCACCGAGTATTCTATAGTATTTTTTTTTATTTTTATTTTTTAAGATTTTATTTATTTATTTGAGAGAGAGAATGAGATAGAACATGAGACGGGGGAGGGTCAGAGGGAGAAGCAGACTCCCTGCTGAGCAGGGAGCCCGATGTGGGACTTGATCCCAGGACTCCAGGATCATGACCTGAGCCGAAGGCAGTTGCTTAACCAACTGAGCCACCCAGGCGCCCTTCTATAGTATTTTAAAATGCATTTTCCAAGAGAATCTTCATTTACTCTAAGATTTAAACATTTTTTAGAAAATGGCATTCAAGCACAAATTAGAACTGTTTTATGAATGAGGGATGCCTGACAGTCTCAGTCAGTAGAGAATGTGACCTTTGATCTCAGGTTTTAAGGTCAAGCCCCACAGTGGGCCTAGAGCTTACTTAAAAAAAAAATTTTTTTTTAAATAAAAGAACTGTTTTGTGAATGAGATATAGACATAACCAGAAAAATCAGGATACCTGAAACCATTTCTCAAAAACTGCCAAATGTGAGAGCACACAAAGGCAAGCTTACACAGGATTGGATGTCGGTTCAGGTTCAGTACCCTCATTATTTTTTAGTCGTCACTATAGTTGATTCACTTGTATAGGGATATGCTGACCACAACTCCTGTACGTATGTCCTTTCTTAGTGCAGAATTTAAGATAGAAGCTCAACTTTAAAATGGCACAAAATAGATATGAAAACACTTCAGAAGTACTATGAAATTTAAGATAGTAACCTAATAGAAAATTAATATTTTGTGATGAAAAACTTCTGGAGAATAACTAATAGCATCTGTTATTCTGAGAAATGACAAAAGGTATATCATAATATTGAAGTCCATTAAATCAGCAGAGGAAACTGAGAAACCTAATGGGTAAGAAGCTATGCTTGGTTCTGATAGTAGATCACGGGGTATAATCAGTATGTGCTACCAATATTTGTTTGGGAAAACAGTGTTTCTCAAAAGCTAGATAGGGGGTATGCTCAAAAGAGAACCAGCCTAGTTATATCCTGTCTGGAGGGAAAACAGTCCTCAGCAGTGGACTTCTGTGTTCTGTCTTCTAAGAATGGAAAAGGGATCATTAATAGGATATGTGCTCCCAGATTAAGGGAACTGCAGGAGAGACATCAACAGTGGAGGATCAGGTCTCCAAAAACATTACAAAATCACTTATGATAGAGTCAGCTTTAAACAAACGGTGGACCCAGAGAGTGCAAAGCTGCCTTAGAACAATTTCACTTAATGCTATGTTGGTAAATGTTTAACAACCCACCCTCTGGGAGGGGAATGGGGAGTTCCGATTTGTAG